CATTAGTCGTATTTTAGATATTTATGGCATTGAAAGCATCTCTTTTCGAACGTCCAGTTTTAGAATATATTCCTCCACGTCCATTAAGCCAACACCGTTGTATAATCTTCGGTTTAATTTCTTGTGACAAAGTAATTTTTTGATAGGAAAAATATGGAAACAACATCCAAACTACAACCCCTTATTTCCACAAAAGAAACCTTAAAGACCCTTTTCTTATTCTATCTTCCATTGCAAATGTTCTTGTACTGCTGCAGTAAGTACCAGATTCCTCCTAGCATACTCTATCTTTACAAGAGTCAGATGTGATTGAAAATGGTGTATTGCTGCAATATCTGGGATAGAGTTGCCCAATCCTCGCTTGCCTGTCTTGATAGAGTTTAAAAGCGCCTTGTGCGTGGTGAATTAATGTCCACATAACAAACCCTATGCCATAGACCAAACGTCGCAAACCTCTGTATCGCTACTTCCATGGCAAATGTTCTAAAGAGCTACACATCTATTAGAGTCACTAAACCAGTTCATACCTTTATAGCTAAGCTTTTCTCTACAATATTGCTATATCCATGGCAAATGTTCAGACGAGATACATTCCTTAGTCCCACCAGTTCAGACTTTCTCAAGGAAGCCTCCCACTAATCTAATAGAAGTAGACAGACTCACCTATCGTCCGGCCTAAACTTCTTTCATGTTTATTCAACAGGAGTAGAGATTCATTCCTTGTCCCCTGTTCAATATACGGTTCATCGATTCTTTCTTTCATCTATCACGGCCACAATGATTTAACTTTTTGGTGACTGGACTAACTAGTGGCTGTGAATTTCCATTGTGAGGTTACCGAGTTGGCAGTTTACTGGCTACTGCTTCCGACTGATCGTTGAGAGCCTGAACTCTTTGGTAGCGTTTAGAGAGGTTGCTCTGATCAACAGTCGTATAAAATCGGGGCATTTGTAGTGCCATGTCGCGCATATTCATATATATGATCGGTAATGATACTGAACAAATAATCGAAACTTTGTGCCGCTTCAGTAAATACCAGACTCCTCCTGACAAGCTTCATCTTTACAAGAGTCAGATCACACTAAAAATATCTCGGATGGAGCTGCCCAATCCTTGCTTGCCTGTCTTGATAGAGTTCAAAAGCGTCTTCGCGGCCTTGTGTGCGGTGAATTCTTGTCCACCAACTTCTCGAGGCGCCCAGGAATCGCATCAATTGATTTCACAGGGAAGTCTTGTGGTATGGAAGAAATAACTTCCTGTAAGAAAAAAGTTAGCTGTTTAAGTCAGGACTCTTGGCTGGCCACTCATATATAAAATTGGGAGTTACTTTTCAATCACCCTATATATATATATATATATATATATATAAAAATATTTTTTGTAGGTACAAAATTTAATGATCGAAATAAAAAGTGTAAAATTTAATATTACAAGACATATTAAAAAAAATATTAAATAATAAAAAAAACTCAACAACAAATAGATGGAAAAAACCGTTTCTAGTTCCCGCTATATCAGGTATATATATGAGATTCAAAATTTTTTCAGAGAATAGATGGTGGAAAAAAAGCGGGAGCGAAACTAGTTCCTTCCTTGTTGTTGAGTGTTTTTTTTATTATTTAATATTGTTTTAATATGTCTTGTAATATTAAATTTTACACTTTTATTTCGATATATATATATATATATATATATATATATATATATATATATATATATATATATATACCCCTCCCCTTTAGTCGTTTGAATAAATCTTTACCCCCCCCCCTCGGTGTTCTTGTGTTGTTTTTCTTTTCCTTGGTCACGTGGTATGATTTTGATTATCGCCTATAAATATGCTGTTTCTTTTGCCTCTTTAGCCAGCTGTCCCTGACGATCCGCTTAGGTGAAACCTGGGTAGCTTTGTCTGGCTCTCTAGGTTTAACTACATATATATATATATATATATATATAAGTGTGTGTGTGTGTGTGTGTGTAATAAATAAAAGTTATTTTTTATACTTATATGCATATATCATACACACACACAATTTACAGTTGAGCTGGGGAGATGTAGCCGTAAATCCTATGGTAACAATTTCCTATCTCGCACTTCTCACTTGTGGAAATCCCTTCCTGCTTTACGCTTTCCAGCGAACTTTAATCTGCAAAAAATTAAATGCAATGTCAATCGCTATCTAATGTCTTCCTGTTTGCTCTTTCCTCTTCCCGCTCATTAGTAATGTTTCCGTTCTTAATTCTTCCACCCTCAGTAACCCCTTGTGTCTCAGTGGCCTTACTGTCTTGCTTGAGCTGATATATAATAACAAAGAAACAAATATATATATATATAACAAATGTTATTTATTATACTTATGCATACGCGCATTAATTTGACGCTGAAATAATTTCATTTTATGCCTGTGTCGAAAAACCTGCGATTTCTCCGTGATATATATATATATATATATATATATATATATATATATATATATATATATATAATGGACAAAGTCCGACAATTATTTTAAGAAATTTTTATGTTTATACTTTATTTTATAGATACATATATCTAAGTAAATGCTTTGTTTATAATAAACAGTATTAATAACATTTACCGATAAATTTTCATAGAAAGTATTCGTCCTCCGGCAGGAATCGAACCTGTATCATATACGGAACCTTTAACCGATTTGGCCACAGAGGCGCATCCGGTTAGCAAGGTCGAATTTACTGTCTTTAAACTTCAATCTCCGATGAATCTCTCACGTACATTCATATCTGCTCAATGCGTATCCAAATGTAAACAAATGACGTCACACGTTATGAAATGGACAAATCGGTTAAAGGCACGTTAAGCTATGACGGTTCCATATAGGATACAGTTTCGAATCCTGTCGGAGGACGAATATTTTCTGTGAAAATTTCTCGGACATTCAGGCCGGTAAATGTTGTTTAATTTATATTGAACACTGTTTTGTAAAAATAAAAATAAAAAATATCAATAAGAACACCGGGTTATATATCTTACTGTTCTTTTTATTTATTTATATATATATATATATATATATATATATATATATATATATATATATATATAACGAAAGCACCTTTATTGGTCATCATATACGTCACCGCATCCAAGACCGGGTGGGGGATCACTACTTTACACATGATCTTAGGAGCACCCCCTGACAAAATAGGTTGATGTGTCCTTATGTAAGTCCTTCCCATGCTGCGTGTGAATACGTGTGTTAGTTTTATCAGTTTCTTTTTTTCTTTTTTTTCTTTCAAGATCTAAATGAGATCGCCTTTTGGTGTCATGATCAGTAGCGGCAGGTACCTTGGTAACGCCACCTTGTCGTTTACACGAAGTGGTTGTGTGGGTCGGTGGTGGACGGTCAGGATATCCTTCTTACTTAACGTAAACACTATAAATACGACCGGCTTGTGGCCGCCTCTCGTTTCCGTTCTCGTGTAAACACGTCTCAGATAAATATCTCCTTTTTTCATTCCGACACACTCAAAGCACGTACTCAGAAAAGCAGGTAGACACACACACCTGACGTGTGCCCAAGATGGCTTTCTCAACGCATAAACACCCTAGGATTGCGAAGGAGTTGTCGAGAAACGTATCGGGGGGTGGGGGAGAGGGGAGGCAGGGAGGGAGGAAGATATTATTATTATTATTACCTTTTTGTGTCCAATAACTTTGAACTTTCAGAGAATAATGTTGCAACATTTACAGGTACTTTAGCAGGGTTTTTTTCTATGCTATTGCTCATCCAATCCAAGACTCATCTCCTGTTGTGTCGGAAACCTACCACCCCTCTTGAAGATGAACTTGTCTGCGTCTTTGAACAGAGATTTTAAATAATAAGAAGAGAGATAGACGGAGAAGTTCTTAGATGAGCTAGTTATTGACTACTCAGGTGATTTCTGTACCTTTTTACCAACCTATTAAAACCCTTTTTATTGTTACGTGTTATTTGGCGTTTGTCTCTACTAACCCCAAATCAACATCATAACATCTCCCAAAGTAGAAGATTACTGGATCTTTTCATCCCAAAATATTAATCCACCCCAACATAGAAATAATTTAAATTTACTAAAATTCACACCAAATTCACCCAGAATGAGGCCCTTCCATTGCACGTTCGCCCTCATCACGATAAACGGGCCAAGAAAAGATTTTTTTAAATTGTAAATTTCCTTGTAAGTAATTCGAATATCATCTATACTTACGAAATGGGAATAACTCTGAGATTTTTGGTCATTTTTCATTCTGAGGGTTGGAGCTGTTTTTAGGCAAGTTAAACAAATTTTGATTTAAAATTTATAATTTCAAAAGAATGCCAAAATTTAATAAAAAAAAAACAAACAAATTTTGATTTAAAATTTATGATTTCATTGGGTGAAATATTATTTGCGATAAGTAACTTTACATTATTTGGGGTTAATTAACAGAAATGATCTAGAATGGGATTATTTTATCGAGATAAGAACTGTACATTGTGGAGATATCTATGCTAATATAAAGGTTAATCCTAGATTGGCAGAGTTTAAGAATGTCTGGTCCACAGAGCAGCGGTTCTTGGGGTGAGAAGTCCGAATGGTACTTTCTCCTTACTGAAAGAATACAAAGGGAATTAAGGGTATATGACTCTCTCGACGTAGCATGTTGGTTTTTATCTATAAAGGTCTGTGTGTTACCCTACTTGGCTTCGCCAAACACCCATAAACCGGTGCTGTTTAAGTCTATAAGAATACAAACCTTTCCTTACTCTTTCTCTCACACACACTTTCTCTTCTTTTCCTCTTGTCACAAAATGTAGCCTGTGGAATGTAGTCCCTGGGCGCGTTCTTTCTCCAGTCGACTAACAACTGAATTCTCACACAGGCTTGTATCATATATGCACACACACACGTTCTTTTCACCTAAGATTTTTTTAATATCTTTATTTGGGTGTTTCAAAGTGATGTAACCGTAAGCCTATTAAACCGTCCGCACATTCAAGCTTACAGTACATGGTATTCCCAAGCGGTCACCCATCTAGCTACTTGCCAGGCTAGACGTTGCTTAACTCTGGTGATCGTGCGTGAACCGGTGATTCAAGTGATTAAACCATCCGCGATTCCAAGCTTATAGTACATGAAGTTCCCAAGTGGTCACCCATCTAGTTACTTACCAGGTTAGACGTTGCTTAACTTTCAACGTAAGCCTAACCCGATAGAAATAACAGGGAAAACAATAGAATATAGAATTAAAACCGACTTTTCCTTCGCTCTTTTTTCTCCTCCCCCTCGTTATACTCCCTCTTCCCCAGTTCACTTCTCCTTCATCTTCCCTTACTTTTTTCTTTCTTTTTTCTCAGTATTAATTTGTTACTTTTTTTCTCTTTCTTTTTCCCTATCAAACTTCCTCTTTCTTTTTTTTTTTTGTCGTACTCCTCTATTTTTAAATATCCTTTTTAATTCCTATATTTCTACCTCTCTACATTCTCTTCTTTTTTCTCTTCCCCCTTTCTTTCTCTTTCCCCTCATCATTTTCTCTTACACAAACTCTTTCCTTCTCGTTTCCTTTCTTTTTTCTCTTTCACTGTAACTCTTCGTGTATAATACGGACTTTCTTCTGGAAATTAAAATCTAAAACTTAACAGTGCGTATTATATTCAAGAACTAAGAATTAACTTATTTTTCCGGGTACGTACGTCGCCATATTCGGGGCCAATGACGTAGCATGGGCGGAGCCATATGCGCAGTAGCCCCGGGCTTAAAATTCCTAGATTTGAAAAGAAAAAAATAGAGTAGTAATAATTAAAAAAAAAAAAAAAATCCCCTCTGTACCTTGCTAAATGCAGATGGTTATCCAATTAACACTCTTTTCAGGGGTTTCATTAAAATATAGAAGGAAACTGGAGAGTCGAGGGCAAGGGTAACGAGCCCAAGTCGAATAGGGCCGCATCGGGTGAATGTACTCGAAATCGGAACTTCTTCAGGAGAAAAACGACCGAAGATTTTGTCGGTCGCTGGTTCTTAATGAAACCTGGGCATCGTGTATACTGACTTTAAAAGTTGGGCCCCTCGTGTCGGTGTAATGGTTAGCAAGGTTATCTCGCTAGAACAATTATGACTGAGTAGTGAGTTCGATCCTCACTGGCTACCCTATACTTTCGGCCTTGTACCACATCTAAGCTATGCTTAGGAAATCACTATATTGGCTTTAAAAGTAGCTGGATTTTTAATATATATATATATATATATGTGAAAAGTGTATATAAATATAAATAAATATAAGTATGTATAATTATTTATATATTATATGCGCGGTACTTATTAGAAAATACAGATATATATATATCGCCGGTAGTTCGTTCTGTATTTCTATCGCCTTTATTTAGTTAGCGATCGTAGAATGACGATCTGAGAACTCTGAAAAAAATAATGAAATAAAAAATAAAAACAACACAAAAATAAAAAAAAACAGCCAAAAAAAGCGGGAAACGAAGCAACAACAACAACAACAACAAAAATTAACAAACAAGAAAGAAATGAAAGAAATAGTATTTTAAACGTTCGCCATATTGTACATTTCCGCCATGTTTATTTGATCGACATCAGACCCGAACGCCGCAGGACTTCACCCTGGCTAATTTATGTCCTGCTCGATGGGCGGAATAATTGAGTATTTCCTATCACCATCAGGGGTCGGAATTTCGAATGCAAAATTTTGAGGAAGGCACCCCCACCCACAAAAAATAAAGATTACCGTAACACAATCTTTCTATCTCGATGTCTTAACATTTATCAGTTTGGTGGGTGAAGTTGTTGCGTGTTTTATTATCAGTGACGATCAGTGTTGATACCCAAGTAAAAAGCCATAATTTTTAATACTGATTTTCAAGGCATATACTCCCAAAGGTATTTGTCATATTAGAGCAGGAGGCTGCAACATTAGGCTTGGACTATAGTACAAAGAAAACGGGTCTTCGACCATGGAACTCATGTGGAAATGATCAAGAATTGAAGATAGTGAATAACTTCAGATGCCTAAGTTCTTGAACACAAAGTTCTAAAATAAGATTTGATCGTAAGAAAACCTCTTGTCTGGACTGTATGTCACAAACTGAAAAAAAAATAATGGGGTTTCCAACTACCCACAAGATTAAAAATCCAATTGGTTGTGTCTCTGTCGGACGAGCGAGGGATGAACAAGAAGAAGAAGGAAGTCTTTTACGGTTTATCAACACATTGCGGGGCTATTTAAAGCAAGAAAACATTTTCAGATTGTAAGAATCCTTTTTTGAGATAATAATTATTTACTGATACAAGTCTTACTAATTAACCCATAGCTGGGGGAGAATTGTGCCGAATAACTTTAAATTGACCTCAAAGAAAATATATATACGAGGATAATCAAAAAGTAAAAGCAATTTACATATAACATCTTTAATTCCACAGCGGAAAAACAAATGCATATGACACTTTTCGACATAGTCCATCATCATATCTGGTACTAAACTCCAGCAGAGAAAGACTGTACGCCATCTTAGACTCACGTTTTCCCCTGACATGAAGTGGGGCAACTATATCGAATGAATGTTTTCGTCTACGGCAAGGGAAATTTCCCTAGTTAGAATCCATCTTGCACATTTATAAATCTACCATTCGTCTGTGCAATGAATACTGTTATCATATGACCTGGTATGGCCTGGTGTTCCTGCAGTACATCTAAAGATTCTTGACAAAATTCAAAGAAGGCCCTGTAATGCAATTAATCCTGACAAGGCATCTCCTCTTAAGCCACTTCCTTACAGACGTGACGTAGCTGGCCTCTATATACAAATATTTTTACATGCACACGAACTTATAAAATGCCGCCCACTTTCTTTCTTTATAGCATTGTTCGGAAGGAAAGTGTGTAGAGTGTGGTCTTCTCACCGCACAGCAAAGTTTCCATCGCTGACTATGGCTTGCACAGCAGTTTTTGTTAAATAACAACATTTCCCAGGTCCCATAACCGCCCTATTTTCAACACTTGCAACTTTTTCATCTTCAAATATTATATCCTTCTTGAAAGGAACAAGATTCCCATGGCAACTTTCTGATGAGCTTCTCATTTTTTCTTGATTCCCTGATTATATAAATTTAAACGTTCCACTAGATTGGCGATTAGGTCTCACCGTTTTAATATTGAACTAGATGTTACTGCTACTTCTATTCTAATAGCTTTTCTCGCACTTCTCACCTGCGGAAATCCCTTCCGATTTCTTGCTTCCCTGATAACTACAATCTACAAAAACTGAAATGCAACGTCAATCGCCATCTTTTGTCTTTCTGAACCCTGCTCCATTTTTTGTCCTTTGTTCAATCATCCCTACTAAAGTCTTCTCATTCTCTTTCATTTTCACTTCCTGAAGTCCCCTAAGTTCCAACAGCATTATCGCCTTGATTGGGATGATACGATTAAAAAAGAAAATCAACACGGTGAGACATTTCTGGTATCGTTCAAAGAGCTTATTTATCCCTCACGAAGCCACGTGTACACCACATGGGCACCCCTAATGCGCACGAATTTTACGATGCCACAAATCACCACGAGCAATGGTTCCCGCAGGTCCGTAGCTGATACCCACAATTGTCGCCACGTGCTAACGTGATTTGTCGCTTTACCCCTGATCATGACATCTAACCTCCAGTCGGCGCGATCCATTCATCAGAATTCGGATGACAAGTTCCGTTATGTGACATAAAAAGGTACATTCATAAGCTACTTGAGTCCTATAGCCTTGGCTGGCAACAAGTCTACGATAAAAAAGGCCAGCCTATTGCAGGAATAAATCGAAAGAAAGACAATCGCCTAAGTGTGTATGATTTTCTTTTAATTTAGAGGAACGTAAGGCATGTTAGGTGTGTCTTATCAGCGGATTTATTCAACTTTTACAGTGAAGAAATCCTTGGAGATTTAGCAGATAAATGACAGTGAAGCAGTCCTTGGAAATTTGGGAAATAAATTGCAGTGAAGGAATCCTTGGAGATTCGGGAGAATAATTAAAGTGAAGTAATACTTGGAAATTCGGGAGATAAATTGCAGTGAAGCAATCCTTGGAGATTTGGGAGATAAATGACAGTGAAGAAATCCTTGGAGAATTAGGAGGAAAAATTGGAGATGCCAAAATTAATCATGAGCAAATATTTAAATATCTTGCAAGTATTTTAACAAAGGATAGAAAATGCGACACCGAAATCCGAAGAGGGGGGGAATTTAGATAGCGAAAGATGCCTTCTAAAAGCTAAGCAAAGTAATAAGAAACGCAAAAAGTTTGATAGAAACAAAGAAAAGTGTGCTGAATTGTTACGCAATATCAATCTTCTTACGCAGCCATGGATACTGGAAACCTCCACACAGACGAAGAAGAGACTTGAAACAAAAGAAATGCGCTTCTACAGTAGGATGCTGAGGATACCATTGACCGATCATATGAGTAACGACGAAAATGTAAACAAAAAGAACACTTATACTTGCGTCATAAAGAGGCAGTTGAAATATCTAGGGCATATAATGAGGAAAGAGGGCTTGGAAAATTGGACGCTCACAAGACCTATTGAAGGCAAGAGGGACAGATGAAAACAGCACACATCCAACCTAACGAGCTTGTTTAAATGGTCGGCAGAACAGTGATTAGGAGTACACTGTAGTCGTCTTACCACACCACAAAGGTTTTATTGCTGACCACGGCCTCTACAGCAGTTTTTGTTAATTAACAACATTTCCAAGCTCTGACAACTACTCTATTTCCAAGATTTCACTCATTGCAATTTCTTCCTCTTCAAAAAATCAACTGCTACTTGAAAGGAACAAGATTTCAGGACGTTGAGGAAATCCGAGAATGCGACAAGGCAAAAGTGGTGTTCCAGGAATGCTTCCATCAATGGGAACAACGATTGGTAAGTGTGTGGCTTAAGAGGACTACTTCGAAGGAGATTAAATGTCGATTTGATATATGTTGTAGTTTTCTTTTTAAAGAACCAGTCGAGATGCTTTTTGATCAGACCTTGTATACAGGGTGATTGAAACGTAATTCTCTGTTTTATGTATGTTGGACTCTCCTATCTAACTATAATTTTTACAAGACGGGAGAGTCCATTATACATAAAATAGGGAGTTAATTTTCAATCACCCTGTATATATTTTATGTAGTATATATTTATAGAATATATTATAGATATTGATATTTAGTTTTTAGGTCAGATATATAAAGATAACCAAAGGTTGTAAATAAGACATAACTTCTAAAAAGAAACAAGATGTTGTATACTTGGCAAACATGTACCCGTAAAAAATCGGATGACCCAAAGGACGGTTTTTCCCATGACACCGGTATTATTAACTATTAAATTTCTCCACTCTGAGGCAATGTTTCAGTATCTGTCTATATTAGTAATAAGGAGTGCCAGAGAAAAGCGATAATAGCAAAAATTGCAATATGAACACAAAAAATGGTTGCTGATGTCATTAGGTTTATAATACCCAGAAATTCATACGCAGATGTCCTCAAGGTTACATGGTACAGTGGATAAAGGCGTTGGTTAGATCCAGTTGTTAGATTCAAAGAGTCTGGGTTCAATACCCGGTTAAGACAGTGGAGAACTTGGACATCTATTAAAACATGGCACGTGGAACCAGTGAGCGAAATAAAGAGTTCAATTCGACATTCCAATCGCCTGATGAATGCCGGAACATACAACGGCCGAAACGTTGGCGACGAGGACAATAGTCCGAATATTGTAAATATTCGGCAATGTTTATTGTTTTAAAAAGAAGGTTAGAATTGTAATAAATTTTAAACTTATGAAAGTGAATTTATACATTTTCTTTGTTGTTGAGAATTGACAACAAAACTAATAAACACTATTGCCATTATTTACATTGTTCGGACTGTTATCCTCACCTTTATTGCCATATTCAGTGGGATAGATTGTTCTAGTTCCATGTGCCATGCCACTTCCAGATGTCTTAATTATCTCCCTTTTAACTTAACTCTCCAAGTTTTTAAACCAGTGGACGAAATAAAGTGTTCAGTTCGAAATTCCAACAACCTGAAGAAGGCTGTAGCGTACAATGGCCAGAACATTGTGAATATGGCAATAAAGATGAAGACAACAGTCCAAACAATGTAAATAATTACAATACTTCATCTCAGAAATATAGACAGATAAACACTATTTGTTTATTAGATTTACACTATTTAATATATTCTTTATTGGAATAGTTGGCAAAATATCGGCTAACTGCCAATTGAATCAAACTTTATAAAATGGTAAATAAGGATTTTCTCATCGCTGGTTCACATATTTTAACAATTTAATGTTTATAAATTTATGTATAAAAAATTGTTTTCACAGTTATCTCCTTATAAATTGGTAAATGATTGTTGTGACGTACAGTGGCCGTTAATAATTAAGTACTACTCAAGACTTCAATGTTAAGATAAAACAGTATTTAATTACAACTGCAAATAAAAACTTAACAAGAACAAAGAATTAAAAAATTAACCATTTCAGTGAATACCTTTTTAGTACCGCAGCTTGGCTTAACGTCCCGTAAATCCTAAATCAAAACCTAAATCGTCGACGCACAATATTTCACACTAATTCGACTGGATAGTTCCACTCTATAGTCACTCAATAATCACTGCAGTCAGTAGCCTGACACCGCTATTCATACACCTGGTGAAAAAAAAATAATATGTCCAGAATGTCACGTTCGATGTCGGTAGTTACTCATTTTCTTCCGATATGACACTATCTTTCTGAGTCTGTACATATCTATCTATTTATTAAAGACATTTTTATGTTTAACGTTCTTTTTTATAGATACAAGTATTTAAGTAAATGCTCTGTTTATAATAAACAGTATTAAATAACATTTACCGGCCTGCATGTCCGAGAAATTTTCATAGAAAATATTCGTCCTTTGACAGGATTCGAACCTGCATCCTATACGGAACCGTCATTTACGCTGACGTGCCTTAACCGACTCGGCCACAAAGGAGCGTTTGGTAGGCAAGGTCTATTTTACTGCTTATAAACTTCAATCTTCCATGAATCTCGTACATTCATAACTGCTCTGGCGTATCAAATGTAAACTAATGACGTATATATTAAGAAATGGACAAAGTCCGGCAATTTATTTATTAAAGACATTTTTATGTTTAACGTTCTCTTTTTATAGATACAAGTATTTATGTTAATTCTTATTTTTTACTTAAATACTTGTATCTATAAAAAGAACGTTAAACATAAAAATGTCTTTAATAAATAAATTGTCGGACTTTGTCCATTTCTTAATATCTATCTATCTATCTATCTATCTATCTATCTATCTATCTTTTGTGGCGTACATTGGCCATTAATAATCAAATATAACTCAAGAGTTCAATGTTAAGATAAAACAGTATTCACTTACAACGGCAAATAAATACTTAAGAAGAACAAAGAATTAAAATTCAACCAAAGATAATTAACCATTTCAGTGAAAACCTTTTTAGTAGAGTGGCTCGGCTTAACGTATGGTAAATCTTAAATCTAAACCCAAATCATCGACGCACAATAATTCACACTAATTCGACTGGATAGTTCCACCCAATAGTCACTCAATAATCACTGCAGTCAGTAGCCTGACACCGCTATTTATACACCTGGCGGAAAAGATATATTCATAAATCCAGAGTGTCACGTTCGAACCTAGGTGTTGGTAGTTACTCATTTTCTTCCTATATGACAATGATAAATATTGCATTGTATTAGTTTTAATTATATTAGATTTGGAATGTTGTAAATATAAAATTATTCTTGTAAATAAATAATCTAACGAATAAATAGTGTTTAATATTTTGTCAATTCTCATGAACAAAAAAACATCTCTAAAATCCCTTTCATCATATGTCTAGGTTTTATTCCAATTCTAATCATTACTTTTTAAAACAACAAACATTGACGAAAAGAGAAGGTAGTTAAAAAGGAGTGTCATGGAAAAAAAACACCCTTTTTAACACGTCATCTTATTGAGTAATTAGAACAAAAACTTGGAAACTGCGAAAAAGAAATTGAAAACATCAGCAAGAGAAAACAAACTTTAAGAAAAATAAATTTGAGAGAAATTAGAATGTCAATAAATAATAAATAAATGTGTGGATCAGCAAGAAAATATTTGGGTTTTCAAATGTAACCTGAGAAAAAAGAATTAAATTTTAAGAATATTGGCTAAAGTCATTAGAATAACTAAATTGCCACGTTTAAGTAAAATCACAAAGATAAACTTTCAAGAAACGTGAAGTAGGACATGAAAACTTATTTCTCAACAGCCATTAAATGTAAAGTGACATTATATGGACCTGTTGGGTTGATTACAGGTATGGTCATACATGAAACAATCAATCAGGATGAATTAGTAGACAACGGGTTCGGTAGAAGGTTATGATTTTAATCTTGTATTGTAGACAATAAATTTATGGGTTGCTTCTAACTTGATGACAATATCAAAAGAAATACTGAAAAAAGGTTTCGTGACAGGACGTGTTTTTTTTTTATGATGAAGTGTATATTTATGCACAATGATGGTCCTATTCATCCATATAGATGACTATTGCCCATCTTGCCAAGACAGTTTTATCCGCATTAAATTAATGGAATGGCTCCCAATATCTCCTGATATTAATCCAGCAGAACACTTGTGATAATTTATTGAGATATGTCTGCGAGAATGGAAAACCATGTTCAAAGAAGGAAATAAAAGCCTCCTGCAAAT